GCGAAACATTTAAGCCACGACTGGCACAGTCCGCGGGGTTTTCGTCCGACTTTACGTAACGCCAGCATTCTGGAGGCATTACGCTGCTTATTTCTTTTACTCTGTTTGATATAAATGACTTCCATCTTGCTGGGTCTCCATTCAGCCAACCCAAAACAATCATAGAGTCTGACCAGCCATAAACTTTGATATCGTAGTTACTAAGACATTGCTTGACTTTTAACATTAATTTTGACAGTAGAAGAGCTCCGCTTAGTTCGAGTTTAGGTAACGAAACATTTGACTTTGAAGGTACTAATCTTGCTTTTGCTACAAATAATGATATGTTTGTACATTCCGATCTTATAACTTTGCAATATATAACGCACGCGTATGCCTTCAGCGAAGCGTCACAAAAGCCATGCAACTCGATACTATCACTTTGCTTTGTACCTATCCATCGTTCTATTTTTAGATTATTTATGTTTTTAATTATGTCCTCTTTGATAATCATCCATGCTGTTTGAATTTCTTCCGGTAAATTGTCATCCCATTTTATATCAGCAAACCAAACATTTTGAAATATTATTTTTAACTTAGTTGATACGGGTGTTAACCAACCTAATGGGTCAAACAGCTTTGATATATCGGACAGCAATGATCTCTTGGTATCAGGCTTAGATGATGTATGATAACTTTTTGCATCAAATGAAAATGTATCTAAACTAGGGTTCCAATTGAGTCCGAGAATATTTGAGTACTCAACCTTTTTAACGATATTTTGACTATTTGAGTCGTTATTGAACTCCATTATTTCGGCAACATTCGACCTCCATTTTCTGAGATTGAATCCTCCTGATTTTAATAAATTAATCAGGTCGTAGCATAATTTCGTAGCTGAGCTGATACTATGAGCACCATGAACAAGGTCGTCCATATAAAACGATTGTTCAAGGACATCTGGAGCTTGATCTTGATAAATGCTGTTAGTGACATATTTTGCTCTTTCATCTGCGGCCAACCTTTTAAGGGTCATCATAGCCAGGAATGGAGCGGCTTTGGTACCGTAAGTTACCGTAGCTAACTGATATTCTGTAAGCGGTTGGTTTGGTGAACCACGCCATATGATTTTTTGATAATTTTGATCTTTGTTGTTGACCCTGATTTGTCGAAACATTTTTTCACAGTCTGCTGTGAATACAAACTGATACTGCCTCCACTTGATAATGAGGGCTTGCAGATCCTGTTGCAAGTTGGGTCCGCTAGACATGACATCATTTAAAGAACAGCCTGACGATGTAGGGCACGATGCATTAAAAACAACTCTAAACTTAGTGGTTTCTGATTCCGTGCGCTCTATGCCGTGATGCGTTAAGTAACAACCGGTAGACAAATTATCGGTAACAGGTATCATATGACCTAGTGATATATATTCTTGCATAAATGACTTATAATGTTTTTCCATGCCTTGATTTTTCTTGAATTTCCTTTCTAATGATTTAAATTGTGCTATAGCTTTGGGTTTAGAATCACCCAAACTTTGTTGAAAATTCGGTTTAAAAGGTATCCTCACTTCGTATCTACCATCTTCTCTCCTACTAGTCGTGCTCTGATAATAATCTATACATTGTTGATCTTCCGTTGATAATTCTTTTTCTAGTGTAATATCTTCAATTTGCCAAAACTTTTGTATATCTACTAAATCGTTTAATATTACGTTACATTGTAGGGTTCTCACGTTGCCGCTTAATATCCATCCTAAGCGAGTGTTTTGTGCAATAGGCGAATCTTGGCTTGCTCTACAAATTCCTTCTAATAATATTAATGAGTAAATATCGGCTCCTAGTAATAAATCTACCGGGCGACTAGTGTTAAAATCGGGATCCGCTAATTTTATATTATTTAAATAAGACCATGATGGCTTGCTGAATGATTGGCTGGGTAATTTTTTTATGAGATTGTTTATGATTAATACATTTGTTTCAAATTGAAATTCATTGATTGTGGACGAAATTTCAATATGTAACATTCCTTTACAATTGTTTTCATTAGTACCAATTCCCGAAATGACTCCTTGGCATTTGGAACGCGGCAACCCTAGCTGTTGCGCCGCATTTTCTGTTATTAGCGATGCTTGCGATCCCTGATCTAACAATGCCCGTAAGTTGATATATGATCCGTTGAATGATTTAACTTTTATATTAGCTGTTGCTAATAGTATTTCTGGAACTTCTTGCTGTAGAGAAACGTGAGAGTTGCTGCGAAAATTACGCGAAGCTTCAGAAGCCGAGATTGTGGCTTCATTTGTCTGCTTCCTAGAGGTTGATGTTCCGGAGTGGTCGAATGACGTTTGCCTAAATGCCTCATGTAGTAAAGTATTGTGAAATTGGTTACATTCACGACATTTTTTATCTGATATACAGGCTTTTCCGTAATGACAATACAAGCAATTTTGACAAATATTGTATTTTGTTATAGTTTTCCGTTTTGATAGTGCAGACATATCAAGAAATTGCTTGCAATAGAACACTCCATGGTTATCACTTTTGCAAATTGGACATTTGTAATATTTTGTAGCATAGACGTTTTTATTGTTGTAATGTGATTGCGACACATTCCGGCCTTGTGGCGGAAATGATTGCTTAATATATGAATTATTATTCGACTGCTTATGATATTTTGTATGCGAAAATGATGGAATGTTATAACTTGGATTGCGTGTGATTGATTTATTCTGATTTTCTTGTTTACGCCTAGAGCTCTCCAAAGTAGTAAACTTATTTTCTAAGAATGATAAAAACTCAGATATGGTTGGTACCTCCCTGGGCTGCTTAACAGAAGCAATATATTCTCCGTGGGTCTCGCTATCTAATTTTTGGCACAAAATGTAAACTAGCAGTGGATCCCACGAATCGACAGTTATTCCTAAGCTTTTGATGGCATTTAAAGTTTCACGTGTAGTATCATGGATCCTTTTCAAATGATCGACTGATGCTTGTTGCATGACTGGTATAGCGAATAAGATATCGAGGTGTGAATTCAAAATTAATTTTCTGTTATCATATCTGTGGGTCAAAATATCCCAGCAAATTGGATAATTGTCTGATGATATTGTAAGATGCTGAATAAGACGTTCGGCCTCACCTTTGACCTTTGTCTTCAAAAATTGCATACGCTGAGCGCTTGATAGTGTTGGATTGTTGTGTATGGTCTCCATGAAAAGGTCTTTAAAGGAAGTCCATTGATGGTAACTTCCGTTAAATGTAGGTATTTCTAAGTGGGGTGTGGATTGTTCGCGGTGTAATACTGACCATAATTTCCGGTTGATTGACTTAATAACTTCATTATACTTTCTTTCGAAATTAAAATAAGTAGCCTCGTATTCAGGTTCCCTGCCATTTAACTCACTGTCCAGCTCCCAGTGTAAAGCGTCAATAGCCGACCAACGAGCTTGAATGACACGTAGCAGATGATCGAACTCCCATTTTTCGGACACGTTGCAGAGATTTATATTAGAAATTGTATGTTCGAAGGCCTTGAAATGGCTAGTTTGTTTTCGTAACATTTCATCCGTTCTACTGTTTATACTTTGCGAATGAGATGTAGGAGCTGTCTCCATAGCTTGATAAGAGGTAGGCATGTTAAGCGGAGTAGCTGGTTTGAGAAGAGGCGTGCTAGGCCTTGAACTTTCATCACGCGACTGTTGATAATTCTGTATAGTTGCCCTGATACTCAAAAATCTATCCTTCACTATTTCATACCTTTTCGAAGTAAAATAATGATGAGACTTTTCACCAAACCCACATAATTTAACATGATTCGATTGATATTCAACCCAATAATTATCTAAAGTATCAAGTCTTTGTTTTATGTACGTAGCTGTTTTTCTATCCGAACCATCTTTCTTAAAGTTAGTAAAAACTTGTTCAATAGCACCTGCGAGCTGCTCTTGAGTTTGTAAGAAATCTTCCATGGTAGACATCTTCTCAGTTGATAATATAAGTTGATAAATAATATATAAAGATACGCCTTACTTGGATAGGATGTCGCCTGATGACCGTGACCCTGATTACTCACGATCCCAGAAGTCCAAGTTATAGTTGTTAAAATTCTTCGATAACTACAGTGTAAATCCACCTCACTTGCGACACAGAGTCACGTTTTCCGAAATCACGTATGCACTGAGTCACTCGCGAGGCCCTAATACGAAGGACCAAAAAGATGTACGGGTTTTGTACACCTTTTATGATATAGAGAGAGAAGAGAAAGTCTTGATATGTTTAAATGATATATTACTGATAACAAACTGATAATTACGAAACTAAAATGATATGACTGTGAGAACGCGTGGTACGAATAATGACCGATGACGAACTGATTCATAATTAACCTAAATAAATGCATGTGGCGTAAAATGCCGACGGGGCAAAATGTACGCGCTTGCTCGTACACACACCAACTATTGAACTCATTGAAATGAACCCTATCGAGAGCTAGTTTTTTATTTTTCTTGTTGTAAGTTGCTCTAGCAATAAAGACCGTTTAAGCTACAACTTCTTTTTTTTCCATTTCCATCTTTAGTTTACTTTTACTTTATTAAGGAGCTACCCGTCGCAAATATTATATTTACAAGAGACAAAAGTGACAAGTTGAAAAGAGAATATCAAAGTAGAAATATACCTTTAAAGCGTGACACTGATAGCTACAACAACTAAAGTCTTTAACACATAGAGGTTAATGAATACAGTGGGGAAGGCGGCTCTAAAAGTGTCCGTCTAGTAGAAAGAGAAAGAAGATGAGAGACCGCTAGCTATCCCTCTCTCTTGTGACGCATGGCATCCAATGGCATCACATCGAAATAGTAAGATGCTTACGGTTGCCAATACGCATGCGCGATTAGAGAGAGAAAGCTAGCGGTCTCTCATCTTCTTTGTCTTTCTATTAGAGGGACACTTCCACTTGTAGTAGAGTCTATATATCTCCCCTACTCAATTCTTATAACTCTATGCTTTAACACATACCATTCGCTGTAAATGGATGGTGCGGCATCGGATTCGGTTCTCGTGCTTCAGGCGGATGGACTGGCTGCAGCAGTGGTGCGTTGAAGCAATTCTGAGTGTTTGCCATCTGCAGTTGAAAATATTATTTCACTAGCGGCCCCTTGCGACTTCGTCGGCCATAACTTTAGTTTTTGGACAATCTTACAGGAACCTATAATTGCTCCGGGATAAAAAGTATCCTTTGTCTCAATCCAGGTCGTAAACTATATGACGACCTCCGTGGCCGAGTGGTTTGTACACCGGGTTTCATGGCGTCGCCGACTCGAGAGGTCCCGGTTCGAATCCCGGTGGGGGCAGATGTTTGTGTGATGAATACAAGCAATTTATACTCCAGTCATGGATGTTTCCTATGTATTTCTATATAAATATACTTATATATGTACAGTATAATATGTATTCTATCCGTTACCCTAGTATCCCAGAACACAAGCCTTATATAGTGCTTACTTTGGGGCTAGACTAATTGGTGTGAGAGTTGGAAATATTTATTATTATTTATTATATTTATTATTATGCGTAACAAACATACAAACACAAACTTTCACATTTATAACATAAGTAGGATGGGATATTATATTACCTGTTGGATAGGGCGTGGAATATTGACGTACGCGTGTCCCGAGCACTGCACGGACTCGTCGGGCCGAGTAAGCGCTTCCATCGTGCTCGGGTATGTGCGATGAAATGCCGTCTCGTTGCTTATTCTACATACATAATAATATTCTTTTTAATCGACTACAAAATGGAGGAGGTTCTCAATAAAACTATTTTTACAAAAATAAAAACGTACAACGAAAAAGTAATAAATAATGCATATTCTTTATTTATATCTAAATTGACATTTGGAGTCTTAGTTGCCATTTACTTCTAGGGTTGACATGGCACCAACTCCAAATGTTAATTTAGATATAGGTAAATAATATGCATTATTTCTTACATTTACGTGGTTTTGTTTTAATGAATTCGGTTTTTATTTTAGTTAAAAATGTTTTTATTCATATTTATGGAACACATTACAAAATACTTAAAACTAGCAATTATCCTATTCTATACTTAGATTAAAACAAAAAGGGTAGAAACGGTACGCTCATACTTGCATCAAACAAAAACTGATCCCACGACAGCGCGGACGGGACGGCGAGATCCGCGTTACTGCATTACCGACCCGAGCGAAACAGCACGTTAAGCTTCAACGGCAGCGCGAACGAGACGGCGAGATCCGCGTCACTGCATTACCGACCAATCACGCGACCAGTACTCGACGTCACTACCGAATAAGACTCAAAACAAACAGCAATTTATATGAAAAATTATATTTTATAGTACTTACGAATGAAAAGTGATGCCGTGGGTTTTATTTTTAGTTCTTGAACAATTTGATCACTTTTTAAAAACATACTCAGGCATTGTTTTATCATATAAACACAAAATATTATCAATATTTCTTTTTGGCGTTCACATGTACGTCGTTTGCATGTCAAGTTGTGACTAAAGCGATTAGGGTCGTGGACCACAATTTGTGCGGATCACTTTTGTGAGGCTAGTGCCGTATCTACCCTTTTTGTTTTGATCTAAGATTCTATATCTGTTTTCTCTTGATTGGCAAAGGCCTCTTCCAATAGTCGCCACGACTCTACATTGTGTGGTTATCTTCCAGGCTCCTGCTATGGAGAGCTAATTTCTACATAATGAGAGTTTATACACAGATTTGTTTGTTTTTTTAATGTTCATTAGTTCAAGTCAACTTCACGGATTTTATTGAAATTACATATACGTTTTGGATCACCGAGTAAAATTAACGCCTCTTGGTCACCATTTTTAGTATTAACTTTAACACATAAGTATAAGTGTTAACGCCATCTATCGTAAGCTTGCGAAAACACATTTACCTTATCCCTTCCTCTAAACTCAACTTCGTCCGCGGCGCTGCCATCGCTGCAATTCGAACGAACGGACGAGAGAAAAAGGCAACGGCCATTGTGTGCTCTGATCGCCGAGAGGAGATACCAAGAAACTCCCACGACTGAGAAAAAACCGCGCTCCGGAGACGCTTTTCGCCTACACATATTTCCGCCCCAGGGCCCGCGAACATTAGTGTAAAAAAGAAATAGTGGCGCGCCACAGGCGAACATTTCTCCAGGACAGGAAGAACAGGCGTCAAGGAACCAGCCCAACAAACCAACAGGTACCCCCTTTCCCACAGTTTCCCTCTAGTTTTTGTGTTTTCTTCTTGTATATAATCGCACATCCGCGTCGGGAATTTGTTTTGTTTTGTAGCGTGACCATTATTTAGTGGTCCTTCGAGCCGGATTCATCCACCCGCCCTTACTGGTATTTACCCAGTAAGAGTATTTATCCGCTCCAATATTGTGCATATTATATATATTTTCGCTTATTTTTCGTATTATAAGCCCGCAACGCATTTTCGTTCTCATAAAACGAAAGCACGGTGTCGTGGCTCGCTCATATATATATCTACCGCCCCATTAGAATAAAATTATTCATCTAATAGGAGAACAATACAAATTATTATAACACCCATATGTATTTATATAATTAATTAAAGGTTCCAGTAAATACTTAACCATTATAAGTATACCTACATTTCAAAGTACCTACATATTTGATATTTGTCACATTTATTTATTTACCCGTGATTGGATATTTTATAAAGGTGCATAGAATAAAAACAACAACGCTTACATATTTAATTACTTACGCATTTGTCATTTGTTTGCATTCATAATGGAACCGAAAAAGGATTCGCCTAGTACGCAAAATCAAAAATTACTTATGTTGGACGCTAAGCGTAATGCCTTATTTGAATGCATGCAAGAGATTTATGACTTGTCAAATACACTAGGACCCGGTAATCAAGGCGTGGAAAATTTTCCTCGATGCTAGTAGTAACATTGACACATTACATTCTGAATTTAAAAACTTATTAGATGAGTACAACAGGTGTTTACTAAAAGAGAAACCGAACTTTGCAGTAGATTACAAAAGCTTTGTCGCATTCGAACGACTATACGGCCGGGTTAAGAGATTGGTGACCATTCATAGCCGCGATCTGCTTGCCGAGAAGAAGAGTGAAGATGCACCGCGTAAAACGCGTCCCTCCTTACCACCGTTAGAACTCGTGTCGTTTGACGGAGACATACGCAAGTGGCCTCTGTTCTTCGCTAGTTATAAGTCTACTGTTCACGAAAACCCATCGCTTTCAGACGCTGAGAAACTTTATTATTTGTTAGGTAAAATTTCGGGTAAGGCTCAAACTGCTTGCGCCGGGATTACCCCCTGTGCAGAAAATTATGATTTAATTATTCAAACGCTAGTAGAAAAGTATAGTTAGTTCACATATAAACAATTTATTAGATTTTAAACCCATACAAAGCGCATCGGTTGTAAATTACGATGCCTTTCTTGAAAATTTCGTAAATTCAGTCCGCGCACTCCAAAATATCAAGGTAAACGACCTTAGCGATATTATTGTTTTGCAGTTGGCGTTGAGAAAATTAGACACTGAGACAGTGCGTAATTTCGAACAAAAAACCGATTCTTCTAAACTACCTACATTCAATGATTTAGTAAATTTTATGCAAAATCAGTCAAAAATATTAACTCGTACGGCAGTAGCCACCCACACCGCCACCTGTTCGAAACAAACAATTGGCAATATTCGCTCGCGCTCTAATATTAAGAATAATAATAATTCGCCGCCAAACTATCAATCATATATTGTTAATTCTGTTGTGAACAGTGCCCGCGGTTCTCCGGCCTCCAAATGCATGTGTAGTAATTTCACACATCAACATTTATTTAAATGTTCAAACTTTAATAAATTATCTCCTTTGTAACGTTTTAAAGTGGCTAAAGATTTAAACGCATGTATAAACTGTCTTAGTACAGTACACAAAGTTTCGGCTTGTAATTCAAGTATGTGTTGCCGTGTGTGCAAATCGAAACATCACACACTATTGCATTTTTCCAACACAACGGCTAGCGCGAGCCCGTTGAATTCGAATCCAGGCGCACCGGTGACGTCAGCCGACACAGCTGCATCGCTCACGCGCACACAGCCTGCGTCGTTGACAGACGTAACGCTATGCGCTACGTCTAGTGATTCATTACATCGCTCCAGTAAGACACCGCGTGACTGTTTCGCTGATACTACGCAATGCACACCGCACACAACTATATTATTAGCGACCGCGCAAGTTTATTCTTATGACTTGTCTCATAACAAACACACCGTTCGTGTTCTGTTGGACACCGCTTCGCAAAGCCATTTTATAACTAAGCAATGTTGCGAGCGTTTAGGTATACAAACTAACGAAATAAAGCGAACGTTAATCAAAGGTTTTGGAGGTTCCGAGAATATCGTAAATAATTCCGCTAACTTTAAATTTTCTTCTCGGTTTAATGCAAATATAAATTTTAATGTAAATTGTTTAATTGTTGAGAAAATCACTGAAAATTTACCTTCCGCTGTGGTTGACAAACTTTCGTTGCCACATTTTCTCAACTTGCCATTGGCAGACGAATCATTTTCGATACCTGGCAAAATAGATGTTTTGATAGGCGCCTCGTTGTTTCCGCATTTATTATTAGCCGATGTACTCCACCACAACGGCTCGGCGCCCCCCGCGATTAATACAGTGTTGGGTTATATTATTATGGGTTCCGTACCCACCGCTTACCACCGCGCCGACGCGTCGTCACCGCTCACCTCGTGTTATGCTATCACCGCTCCCGAATCTATAGAAATGACTTTAAAAAGGTTCTGGGAATTAGAAGAAGTACCTTCGCCGCCCATTCAACGTCCGGATGACGTTGAATGTGAAGAATTTTATTGTTCCACCACTGTAAGGGATCCTACCAGTGGCCGATACGTCGTGGCGTTACCTTTTCGTAAGGACGCTTATTCCCTCGGAAATTCCGAGTTCATCGCTCGCAAGCGATTTTTGTGTTTAGAGCGCAAGTTAGAAGCGTCTCCCAAATTGCGCACCGCTTATGATGCCGCTATCAATGAGTATATTGATAATCAATATTTATCTCCCGCTCGCGCGGAAGACCCCACTCTTCCGTCGTATATTATTCCGCACCACGGCGTAGCCCGTAATGACAAACCGCTGCGACCCGTGTTAGACGCGAGCTGTAAAACGTCGACTAATATTTCGCTCAACGATATTCTGCACGGTGGCCCTAATCTACAGGGCGATTTATTTCAAATTATTTTAAATTTTCGTCTACATGCTATAGCTATGAGTGCGGACTGTCGACAAATGTTTTTACAAATAATAATACGCGATTGCGATCGTCGCTTTCTAAAAATATTTTATCGATTTAACCCGCAAGAGCCTCCGATGCTTTATGAATTTAATAGAGTTTGTTTTGGTCTCAAGTCAAGCCCGTTTCACGCATTACGCTGCGTTCGTCAGTTAATTAGCGACCATGGGGATAAGTACCCCTCGCGCGAGATATAGCTTCTCGGTCGTTGTATATGGACGACTTGGCCTACTCAAGCCCCAGTAGCGAACAAGCCATTGCGGCCAGTAAACAGCTGATCGATATGTTCAAGGAAGCTCAATGGGACTTAGTAAAATGGAACAGCAATTCAAATGCTGTACTAGACACCATTCCTGATACTCACAAGCTCACCACCGCCGTTGAATTTGACAAGCACGCGCCTTCTAAAATACTT